AAATAATAATAAGAAGAATATTATATACAAATTTCTATATATCAGAACAAAACGACGTCAGGCAAATAAATGGCAAAGTGGAAAACATCCTCTTTTAGACGCTTTGTTCTCTAGATGGACTACAAAGGACTAAAGTAATGTTTTTTATCGATAGGAATTATATATGCGTAGGTGGCGGAGAGGAGGTGTAAAAACGTGAGCTTCAATTTTAATTTTCTATCTAGGTGAAGAGCTGACGATATGGGAACGCATTCCAAACAGCTGACTAGAAGTTCAAATGGTTGTCTACATCTGGATTCTAACCCGTTACACGATCTTCAGACCGTCCTGGGTATGACGATAAACTACATCCGCGTCCTAGGTGTGACGATAAACTACATCCCCGTCCTGGGTGTGACGATAAACTACATCCGCCTCCTGGATAAGACGATAAACTAGGTCCAAGAGCAAAGTCTCTGATCAAGAGGTTTTGAGAAGTGTAGAATTCAACACTTAATTGCTGGTGTTCCCAAGTCCGCCCTGAACCGGGGTGGTAGCAACTGTTAGGGTCCCAACTATGGGCAAATAGTTAACCCTCAAACTGGGGTCAAAACACTATGAAAGTGTAAAAATAGGTTTTAATACCAGAAATACTTTGTAAAAAAATATCACCAGCAATACATTTTTGAAGAAAAATTATTACCAGCAATACATTATTACCAGCAATACATTTTTGAAAAAAAAACTTACCAGCAATAAAAATCTTGTCGGTATTAAATAACCCATTGATACGCCGTAAAACAAACCAAACCAAACCAAACCAAACCAAACCAAACTAAACGACCTTCAAAAACAAAACAGCTGACGACGGTTTGCAAGTGGCCAGGTGACGTCATTTGAATTTTAAATGGTGCAACAGTTTAGTGGCCTCTGCAGTCCCCTGCAATCGATATTGCTGGAGTTTTCTTTCTATACATATTTTATGTTTGAACCATGTAAAATGGCTGCTTAACTAATGTCAATTAAACAGCCGTTTCGAATTTCCTTGACTTCCCGTCTCACTTTGTTTATTTCAATTTCCTTCTTTGTATCATTCCTCTTCACTAGCCGTTTATAGGAAGCTGATTGTCGACTGTCGAGAAAGCTCACAACCACACATTTACACGCAGTGATTGGAAATGAGAATTTATTGTCTGGTTATTGATTTAGGATTTTTTTTGTTACTTTACATGTGACAGAACATGTGTAACAATACGATTTCTCACACATCCTAATGAGATAATTAGATAGATTCTTTTTCCATTTAAGTCAATTTAATGACCAGAATTTCTTAGGAATTATATGTCCAGTACATCTTTGAGTCAATTTAATGACCAGTGTTTTCAGGAATCCTCTCTTCAGCCTGCTTTTGAATTGTTAAACAAAATTTCGTTAGCGATTTTAAATAATCGTAAAACTAGAGTCCTTTGAAAAACTGTACACCCAAAAGCTGAATGGGTGGTCTCCTTTTCCGGAACACGAGTGGACGGATAGGGATGGTAGGACCCCAGCCGGTGTCCTTATAATGAGTAGGCAGTCAGGAGCAGTTTGTGAGGAACGGACCAGCGAACAGTGAAGAGTCAGCAGTCGCTGAGACGGTCAGTGAATGTAAGGGTCCTCTTTCCGTGGCCGGAATTTAGTATGATAGCAGTTTCTCGAAGCCGAAGGAAGACATTGCCGATCTAGTGAGAAATCGTATTGTTTGCTTTTTCCCAATCAATGTCTTTTTTCGCCTGTAGGTATTAGAGCTCAGTCTTTGTTGAATTTGATTACGGCCAGTGAGAAAAGTCTGTGACCACGTGAGTCGGGTGTATGTATGCATATAGCCGACCTTGGTTGTCATCACAGCTTGTGCTGTGACGTGCGTAAGCATCGACACACATGCCCGTGTAAGCGGGTTGATTGATAAGTAAGCTTTTCAATTAGAAAAAATAGAATTTAGACCAGATAATGATATTAACATCTAAATGAAAGAAATTTATTTCTCTTCAAAATGACAGCGGTTGATTGATAAGTAAGGTCTGTAATCCTATAAAACAAATTTTAGACCAGATAGAATAATGAAACTGGTATCAAAATGAAGGGAATTTATTTCTATTCAAACTTACGTGTGTTCATTGACAAGTAAGGTCTCCAATCCTATAAAACAAGTTACAGACCAGATAGAATAATGAGCATGCTATCAAAATGAAGAAAATCTATTTCTCTTCAAAATTACGGGGATTGATAATTATGCTCTCGAAATTTATCAAGTTTTCACTCAGTTAGAATTACAGAACTGGTATCAAAATAAAGTAAAATCATTTCTCTTAAAACGTTTGAGGTTTGCTTCTGCCAGCACATAATGAGAATAATATGATCGATCATACGACAAATGAGGAAGTTCAAAAATTGAGAATCTGTAAAGAAACAGCTGCTAACAATCACAAAGTGAGGGTAGAATCTTTCGTTACACATTTTGCTAGTCTTCTTTCGGGGCTCATTGGCATTCATCGCCGTTGGTTGAAGAATAGAGCCGTACAGCTGAATTTCGGCTCCTTTGCAGATGGAATAGATAAACTGTACAGATAATATATACAGAAAGTGTATTCAGCGAGCCGAGTTCAAATTCCGTCCTTGTTTTTTTTTTTTTGTTTTTTTTTTTACAATATTATTAATCTGATACAAGACCCAAGACCCAAGACCCATGCAATTTAGAGGATTAGTAAATTAATGTTGTTTTATGTATATAAGAAGAGGAAGTAATAATTGCAGATTATGAGGATATCTCAGATAGATAACTGTTGAGCTTAGATTTGAAGATTTTAAGATTGTAGTGATTTGGGAAGCATTCTCTCGGGAGCTGTACCATAAAGTAGAGGAAAAAAATCTTCGAATGGAAGATCGTTCTTACCAGCGGGATACGAAGAGAATAAAAATGTAAAGGTCTGAACCGGAGGAATTGATGAATATAGTTCACCAGAACATTTCCCATGGAAATAGCGACATAGAGAGAGACTTGCACTATTGTGTCTGTAGGGAAGAGGGTTGTAGTGTGAAAAATAATATATCGCTCGCAAGGGCGTGTAAACGCTTTTGAACTGTCTGAAGGCCGGAAATTGAGGATTGCGCAGCTTCAGCCCACACATAGTAGACATATACTATTTTTGTATATCTTATAATCGTTAAAGTTGCTTAGTATCAGTAAAGCCCATGGCCGTGTCTTTTAGCCTAAATAGCTTTCAATACTAGATATCTTATCTGTCGTCACCACTCCCGTAACGTAATTAGAGTCACAGAGTCACCATATGTACGGCAGCCTGAGCAGTAATGGCGTCTCTAAAGCAAGAATAACTTGTCGGAACTCATAGCTCTTCAAGCTGGTTTTGAATTCAAATTTTCTCTTTCTCTTAGGGTGGTTACCACCTGTAGGTAATAAAGCCCAGTCAGCAACAAAATGGTGCGTGTAGGGCAAGATAACCTGGGGGAACTCATCCCTCTTCAAACACGTTTTAAATTGAGATTTTTTGTCTTCTCTTAAAGTGATTACCATCTGTAGGTAACAGAACCCAGTCATCCCATTCTAGGGCAAGATAACCTGGCGGAGCCCATTCCTCTTTAGGCTACTTTTGAATTCAGATTTTTTCCCCTTTTCTTAGAGTGCTACTACCTGTAGGTAATAGAGCCCAGGCAGCAACAATAGCGTGTCTAGGGAAAGATAACCCGGCGGAGTCCATCCCTCTTCGAGCTGCTTTTGAATTCAGATTTTTTCCTTCTCTTAGAGTGGTTGCCACCTGTAGGTAATAGAACCCAGTCAGGCTATAGAGATATTTAAGCTATTTAACCCATAGCTGGGGTAGGAAAGAGGTGGGTTCGTACCTTCCCCAAGGGTACTAGTGCGACTGTTATGATCCGTTACACTACGCACACGCCCAACAGATAACTGCTTCCTCTTGAAGGCACACTATAAAATCAGTGTGAGTTCTCATCTTAAGCATGGCTACTCATTTCCAGGCCTTGACCATCATCCTCTGGCTCAATAGTGGTTCAACTCTCACAGAGCCAACCTGTGCTATAATAGAGTCCAGACAGCAACAATAGCATGTCCAGGGCACGATAACCTGGCGGAGCCCATCTCTCTTCAGGCTGGTTTTGAATCCACATTTTTTTCCTTCTCTTAGAGATGTTTTCGCCTGTAGGTATTGGAGCCCAGACGGCAACAATAACATGTCCAGGGCACGATAACATGGCGGAGCACATCTCTTTTCAGGCTGGTTTTGAATCCACATTTTTTTTCCTTCTCTTAGAGATGTTTTTGCTTGTAGGTATTAAAACCCAGTCAGCAACAATGCCATGTCTAGAGAAAGATATAGCTGCCGGAGCCCATCCCTCTTCACGCTAATTTGGAATTTAGATTTTTTTTTTTACTATACACTGTAGCTATGCAGACTTGTTAATGTAGTGGGGAACATGACACGTGAAGCTAGAACAGTCTCCCCCAGTGAGCGAAATAAAGGGTTCAGTTCAGCATTCCAACCACCTGAAGAAGGCCGGAGCGTACAACGGCCGAAACGTTGTAATAATTAAGGCAACAAAGATGGGGACAATAGTCCGGATAATGTAGGTGGTGTCTAATATATTGGTTGCCAACCACGGACAGAGAAGACTGAGTAGATTCATATGTTCCCAAAGATAATTGAGAGAAAGTGAATGCTAGAGATGCGGATCTGAACTCGAAGTCGGCCCGACGGATTCTCGCTTTGAGCCTCAAATCTTTGCATCAGCTGCAAATCTATGAAGAGGTATGTAAAAATAAAATAATTCCTTCTGATTTTGACGAAGCTGTTTAGTTTGTTTAGACAGTTACTGTAAAAAGCTTCCTGATGAGAATGCGTTGGTGAAATCCTAGCGTAAGAAGCCTCCACCTTAAACACTGCTTTCCTGTGGCGAGCCGTGAAGGTCTGCTTGAAGAATATCGGTGTGTAACTGACGACGAGAACAAGTTATGAGTGAGTGACTGAAAGAAAGAAAGAAAGAAAGAAAGAAAGAAAGAAAGAAAGAAAGAGAGAAAGAGAGAAAAATATAGAAAGTGTGTGTGTGTGAGAGAGAGAGAGAGAAAGAAGGAGAGAGAGGAAAATAAAGAGTGAGGGAGACAGTGAGAGAAAGAAAGAAAAAAATAGAGAAAGTGAGAGCTGGAGAATAAAGCGAGATAAAGAGATAGAGAGTGAGAAAGCTGGAGAATAAAGAAAGAGAGGGAAAGCTGGGGAATAAAGAGAGAAGGATATATAGAGAGAAAGCGAGATATAAAGAGAGAGGGAGATAGATAGAGAGAGAGAGAGAGAGGAAAAATAGAGAAAGTGAGAGGTAGAGAGCTTGAAAATAGAGAGAGATAGAGAGATAGAGAGAGAAAGCTGGGTGATAAAGAGAATTAGAGAGAGCTTGATAAAAAAGAGAGCAGCAGTTGGAGAAAGAGAGAGAAAAAAGAAAATAGAGAAAGTGAGAGAAAGAGAAATAGTGAACGTGAGAGAGAGAACTGGAGAATAAAGAGAGAGATATAGAGAGAAAGCTGGGGAATAAAGTGAAAGAGCTAGTGCATAATGAGAGCGAGATAGATAGATAGATAGATAGATAGATAGATAGATAGATAGATAGATAGATAGATGGGAATAAAAGAGAGCTACATATATACATAGAGAGAAAACTGGGGAATAAAGAAGGTGAGATAGATAGATAGATAGATAGATAGATAGATAGATAGATAGATAGATAGACGAAGACACAGAGAAGAGAGAGAGAGAGAGAGAGAGAGATAGGGAGGGAACAAGAAAATGCAGCGAAATCATCGTGACAAAGGTATTTGGTTAATCGCAACTCTGTGAAATATTAATCAACGCCGGAGTGGGTTAGACAATCAATTTCGCGCTTTTTCCTCACTGACTGACTTTCGCGCCATTTTGACTGGCCTGAACATGTCAGCAAAATCCCTGAATTAAAATCAAGTGAAATGAATGCGCGCCATGCATTAATGATATGTTTCGTAAAAACCGGACGCAGTTGGCAGAAACGGAAGCAAAAGTTGAGCAGAGACGTTAAATGACACAGGCGAGTTTCTGTGGACCGTAAACAAGAATTAGTGTGCGTTTCGCTGTATTTGTGCCTCCTGAAAATTTCAGAGCACAGGAAAATCAAAGCAGAAAAGAGATCAATATCATGTACGTTTTGATCTTTGAATATATTGGGCTGGCCAAAAAGTTCGTTCGGTTTTTTTAACTGAAAATAAACGACGTTTTTTTTTTCGTTTTTTTGTTGTTTTTTTTTTTAGATATTAATTTCAGTTAACAATATATGCGATCAAGGGAAAAATGTTTAGGCTCTACATGGGAAAGTTTTGTCTTTATCGACATATTTAAACATATGGACATTTCATCTTTATTCTAACCCTGCTATTTACCTTGAGCTCCTTGATAAGATTCAAAGAAGAATCAGCAATATTATTAGTCCTGATCTGGCGGCTCGGATTCGGTCCCTTTCCAACCATCGTAAGGTTGCTTTTCTGTGCGTTTTCTGAAAATACTTTCATGGTAATTGTTCGGATGAGCTCCTCGCTATGGTGCCTAGACTTTTGAGTTTACGCGCAGTACTAGACTGGCGTCAAGATCTCATCAATTTACAGTCGAGTTGGCTAGGTGTAACCGTAAGTTCTATGCTAACAGTTTCTTCTTTCGTACCTCTCACTTGTGGAACGCCCTTCCGGTACCATACTTTCCAGCCAACTTTAATCTGCAGAAAATTAAATACAATGTCAATCGCTATGTACTGTCCTCTTGATTGATCTTCTTTTGTTCTTGCTCCTTAATAATATTTCTGTTTCTAATTACTCTACACCGTGTAACCCCTTGTGTGTTAGTGGCTTTACTGCCTTGCATGAGGTGATACCCATTTAAAAAAAAAAAAAATCACCTAAAAAGAACCCTTTGAAAATGCCTAAAGACGTGGGACAATATGGCCAATTTTTGCAGTCCGTTACTCCCAACAATAGGAAAGATGTAAGAACGTTGGAAAAGCTAAAAAAATTTTAATTAAATTTTCCTTATCTATCATATTAAACGAGATATATGTAAAAGAAAGGTTGGTGCCCAAATATACATTAATTAATCTATCTATCTATCTATCTATCTATCTATGCTATTTATTAACCATGCGTTTCGACAAAGTGTCTGCTCTCTTTGACTTCCTCAGTTTAGAATGAAAGAAATACTAAACTATATGTACGGGAAAATGCCTTGGGATCTGTGAGGATAAATAGTAATCATAATTCAAAGTAAATTTGATTACTTATCACCTCCAATATTCAGAACTCAATAGAGCTTTTAAAACTGCTTCTTTTTTAAACTGCTTGTTTTTATCTATATCAGAGACATTTGGAGTTGATGGCTTTTAAATCAGAACACCAAAACTAGAGAATTTTTATTTTATATATATATATATATATATATATATATATGTGTGTGTGTGTGTGTGTGTGTGTGTGTGTGTGTGTGTGTGTGAAGTGCGATGGATAAATTGTCGTCTAGATTACGAAAAAATGAAAACATAGACATCTCATTTTAACAGATATATTAACCAAAATTACGCAAAAACTATCTTGAAATACTAAAGAGTAAATTTGCTCAATAAATATCGCCATTGGCTTCAACCATAGCTTCCAGACGACTTTAGAATCTCCTGCAACTCTTCTGAGCGGTCTCCTTGTTTAAGTTGGTGAATCCTACCATAATCCTTGCCATCAGTTCATCTTTGGTGATAAAAGCAGCTTTGCTGGTCTCTCACTCAACTGCAACCCACACATAATAATCAAGGAGGTTGCAGTCTGGGGAGTTAGGTGACCCCGTGTTGAGTCTGAGGCGTTGTCGGAAGATGAATGGAGACATAACGCCGCCAACACTAGTGCTCTCTCAAAATACCTTCGTAATCACCATTAGACTCATTCAACTCCTTCCGAATCTTCAGCATTGACACCCAAACATTCTGAAATGTTCGTATTGAAATGTTCAGCATGCCGTTTCCAAATTTCTGGCGGAGTAAATTGCGCCATGTTGCACCTTTTTCAGAGAGGTGCCCAACTGTACAAAAACCCCAGAAACAATGAGCATAAGTGAAATTCACACACACACACACACACACACACACACACACACACACACACACACATATATATATATATATATATATATATATATATATATATATATATATATATATATATATATATATATATATATATATATATATATATAACAAATTGGACAACATTTGAGTGTGAAGCGTTGCCTCCTCGGACTTCATCGGACTAAATGATCTTTACGTTGATGTGATGACACATGCGGGTGAAGGAGAGGAGTTGCTGAAAATTTTTTATTTATATTTTGGGTATAAAGTCTAGACCATTTTATTTAATTTCTTTTTCTTTTTGTTTATGCCTTTATCACTTTTGTTTTCCACGTTGCAGGAATAGAAGATCTGCCCCAAAATGTGAAGTGTAACAAAAAACAAAAAACACAAAAAAAAAACACCGTACGTAAATTTACTGTGGATGTTTTAGCGATTAAAGCACTTCCTATACATTTTTGTCTAAGCAAATTGATTTCTCTATTAATTAGAGTAGGATTTTTTATATGAAAATTATGGTCAGGCTCGTTACGTTCAGCTACTCATGCATTGTAAAAGATCCATTTTCTGTTCATATATATCGTTTCCCCATATATATTATGTATAGAATATAAAATTACTTAGGTTTTGAACTCCTGGTACCTTGATGTCCTCCCTGCTTGTCAATATATATTGTCTTCGACATCGTGTGTATTAAGACCAGAGAATAGAGACATCATCGTAAGCAAATCCTATTACTATTTAAAATACAAATTCCAATGTTTATGTTTACCTAAACTATAAATGTCGGAATAGTCGCCTGTCCGACTCAAGATGATTTTGATGGCACGTCTCCGATATAACAGAAGTAGTTTATCATTTAACATTCTGTCATTTCTAGTCTAAGTTTGTTGGTCAATTGCGATGGCAGCGGGTCGACACGTTAGTAGAATATTACTAGAAATAACCGTAATGTTATTTCATAGATGTATTTCGAGTTTTCAGTCAAGAGATATGACAAAGGAAACAGAGGAAGTAATATTAATAAAATATAACTGTAAGTAAATACAGTAAAGTTAAATATATAGGAGGAAATATTTGAAGGTGCGGGGGGGAGTCAACGTTATAATAAACGCAAAATAATGCAGATGTTAAAACGTAATCTACTTCTTCAACGCGGAACGTGTCTCAACAGAGCGTTTGTGATCATGGTTCTCCACAACTTCCTGTCCATTCTACCTCTTACGAAATGTTGTCTTTTTGTTATCTCTCCTAAACCCTGTTTTGCCATTCACTGACACAAGACTATTCTTCATCTCTCTGCTTTGTCCTTCCAAGATGTTGGTGATCATGGCTCTCCACAATTTCTACTCCTTTTTACCTCTTAATAAATGTTGTATTTTGGTTATCTCCCCTAAACCCTATTTTGCCAAACATTTACACAAGCCCGTTGTTGTACTTTTTCTTCTAAGTGCTGTGTCATTTCAGGATATTAGTGATCATGGGTCTCCACAATTTCCCTTCCTTTCTAGCACTCAATAAATTATCTCTTTTAGTTATCCATCCTAAACTACGTTTTACCATTCATTTACACAATCCTGTTCTTCTATGTGCTGTCCTTTCAGGACTTTGGCGATCATGGCTCTCCATAATTTCCTCTCCTTCCTACATCTCAATAAATTGTCTTTTAGTTATCTTTCCTTTACATAAGCCCATTCTTCTTCTTCTTCTTCTTTTTCTTCTTCTTCTTCTTCTTCTTCTTTTTCTGAGCTGTGTCATTTTAGAACTTTGGCGTGCATGGCTCTCCACAGTTTCCTGTCCTTTCAATGAATTTTGTCTTTTAGCTATCTCTCGTAAACCCAGTTTTTCTTCAATGTACTGCGTCCATTCAGGATGGTGGTGATCATGGTTCTCCACAATTTCCTGTACTTTTTACCTCACAATATAAACCCTGTTTTACCATTCATTCACCCAAACCCGTCATTCTTCTATGTGTTATGCCCTTTCAGGACGTTGACGATCATGGCTCTCCACAATTTCCTCATATTTCTAGCTCTCAATAAATTCTGCCTTTTAGTTATTTCTCCTAACCCCTGTTTTAATATTTATTTACAAAAGCCAGTTTTTCTTCTATGTGCTGTTTCTATTCAGGACGTTGGCGAACATGGGTATCCACAATTTCTTGTCCTTTTTGCTTTTCAATATCTTTTGTCTTTTAGTTATCTCTCCTAAACCTTGTTTTACCATTCATTTACAGAAACCCATTCTCTGTGTGTTGAGTCATTTCAGGATGTTGGCGGTTATTGCTCTCCACAATTTTCTCGCCTTTCTAGCTCTTAATAAATTTTGTATTTATTTATTTCTCCTAAATCCTGTTTTACCATTTATCTACACAAGCCCGTGCTTCTTCTCTTATGTGTTGTGTCCCTTGATGAGTTTAGTGGTCATTGATCTCCACAATTTCCTCTCCTTTCTTCCTCTTAGTAAATTTTGTCTTTTTGTTATCTTTCCTAAACCTTATTTTGCCATCCATTTACATAAGCTCGTTAGACAGGTTAAACTGCTTTCTTCTGTCCTTCAATCTATCCTTTGAAATACTTGATGTGTTTCTTTTTCTTCTATGTGCTGTGTCTCTTCAGTATATTGGCGGTCATGGCTCTCCACAATTTTCGGTCCTCTGTAGCTCTTAGTAAAA